CACAGAAAACCCCTTCCCAAAAAAACAAAAAAAAAAAAAAAAAAAAAAAGTAGGAATGAAGTTTCTAGGTTAACATTGGCTTGATTCTTCCATGTTCTATGACTCAAGATTGTGTCTATTAGTCTAGCCAAGTGTGCAAGTGTGTGCATAAGGGAATGTGCACAGATGGTACAGTATAACTTACAGAAAAGACAGCATGAAAGGCTAAGGTGAGGAAATAAGGAAGAACTGAATATAGGTAATACATATGGCTTGAGGATAAGGCTAGTTGTTTTCTTTTTTTTTGGGAGGGGGTTCGAGACAGGGTTTCTCTGTAGTTTTGGAGGCTGTCCTGGAACTAGCTCTTGGATTCCAGGCTGGTCTTGAACTCAAAAAGATCCATCTGCCTCTGCCTCTCGAGTGCTGGGATTAAAGGTGTGTACCACCACTGCCTGTTGGCTAGTTGTTTTCTACTTCTATTCTGTCATGGATTTTGTTGTTCTGTTTTTGGTGGTGGATAAGTGCATAAAAATACATTGGAACCGAAAGTCTAGTTTAATGTGAGGCTCACTAGGCTCTATTCCAAATGCCTATTCTTACTGTATACAAGTTCACCGAGTTGACTCTGGGTTTGGTTATTTTTGTTGTGTGATGTTTTTATCTATTTTCAAGGGTTTTCTTTTTTATATATAAGTTTACAAAATTTTCAAAATGTATATACAAACTGAAAATGGTAAATGTAAATTGACCTATAGAAATGAAGACTAGGATGAGAATGTTGTTCTGTGGTAGAGAATCGGCTAGCCTGTGGAAGGTCCTGGGTTCAGCTCTCAGCAACACACACAAACAGAATAGAAATTAAATATACCTGTGGTTGTACACTAAGGGTTGTGACGTGTTACCAGAGTAGTCCCAGCACTTAGGAGGCCCACAGCAGGGTGATCACTGGGAATTTAAGGCCCGAGGAGCTACACAGCAAGACCCAACCTCTTAAAACCCTAAACCAAACCAAACCACCACCCCTGAAGCCTGGTATGGTGGCCAAGGCAGCAGGCTGTGGGTCTATGCACACCTAGGCTATGTAACAACAGCCTGTCAGGAGAAAAAGGAAGAAGGGAGGAGAAAGGGAGGGAAGGAAAAAGGGAGGGAGTGAAGGAAGCAGAGGGAGAAAGAGCTCAAAAGCAAAGGGAGAAATGCTTAGATGTTAAAACATAAAGAAAATTCAACCTGCATAGCAAGTGGATGTTGGGCTTTGTAAGTATTTAAAATAATAAGAAAATAAGATTTATTAAAACATAACAATTTATTAGCCACAAAAGCCACTAATTATTAGAATTGTTCTGCTCTCATGACTGTTAAAATGTATTTAAAATGTATAAGGACTTTAAACTTGTGAGTATCAGTACATATTTAAGAGTTTAATCTTTTAGACTGTCAATAAAACATTAATCAAAGAAAATATAAAATTTTTTCCCATCCAAAAGCCATTAGGCAAAAACAAAACAAAACAAAACAAAAAAACAGACGTAGTAAAATTTCTTAAGTCAAATTAATAAGCTTAGTAAAAAACACATTTAAAAAAATTAGAGCTGGGAGGTGGTGTCCAACACCTTTAATCCCAGCACTCTGGAGGCAGAGGCAGGCGGATCTCTGTGAGCTCAAGGCCAGCCTGGTCTCCAGAGAGTGCCAGGATAGGCTCCAAAGCTACAGAGAAACCCTGTCTCCAAAAACCAACATATATATATA